GACTAAAATGTTGTTTCCAAATCAAGGTTGTTTTGATTTAATCCTTGTATGCAGCACACATAATTTTGCTTTCCTAACTCTTTGAAGCAAGCGTTAATTTTATGGCTTTGGCTGTTGCTCCTTCTGTGCTGTGCTGTACCTATGAGCTATTTAATGTGCGATGTTGAGGAGTAAATTAATGCAGGTTCACAAAGAGCACACTTCGATTTGCTAATTGCTTGTAGAACGGAGGGTATTGTTGTGTAGAGAAAGACTGTTCATTAGAGATTGAGTAGCTATTTTTTTCTTAGGAGATTCTCACATTTGAGCAGCTCGCCTATGGGAGCGGGCAGTTGGCTCACATTCAGCATCCAGAGGAGAGTTAGGGGCTGTTGATACAACCAGTGTTGCCACTTGTGTCATAATCAACAGATTGCTCAGAGCTGCATTCATTAGTTCTTACTGCCCGAAATCCTCCGATGGTGTCGGTTATGGCTGACAGAAGAGTGGAGCCGGGAAGAGCAGCGGCCCTGACCTCTTGGAGTCCCTCCTGCGTTCCTGGTGTTTCTCCAGGGTTTATGTTTACGTGTGAAGTGTGAAATATAGTTGAAATAATGGACGTTGTTGCTTTTGGAAGGTGTAGGAGACGAATCCTTGGTGATGAGAAGCCAGCTGAGCAGTTCAGAAGTGTCTGCTTGGGAGCTGAATTGGGTCCTCTCCTTGGAAACTATTTCTGTTCCTGTTCCAGCAATGAGCTACTGTATCATGGAGGGGCTGAGCACAGTTTATCTTTCCTGCCTCTCCCTTTTGAGGAAGACAGTAGCACTGACAGTAGATTAGACTGTGTTGTCATGTAAGATGAATGTTTTGAATTGGCAAACCATTTTTTGGAAGCTTAAAGTAATTGACTGAATACTTCAGAGGAATTTTTTTCTGCTTATGCTACTTATTTGATTTTCTTTTACCTGGTTGTGCTGCCTTCGGTGGGCAGAAAGGACTTTGCATATATCTGTGAATCTGATTCTTCAACTCAAAATCTGTTTGCTTATCAGATTTCTTAATACTTGAGCTCAGTGATCCATGGGAATTTAACATGTATATTAAGTAATGGGAATTTCCTTGGAGCTTCAAGATAGGACTTTTATGCCTAGTCTGAAAATTCAACATGAAAGTCTTTCCTACTGAGAGCGATTCCTGAGACACCAAGGTGAACGTGTTCAGTCTAAAAGCGTGTAAAGTGGAGCTGAGCTACGTATATGTAAGACATTGCTTTTCCCAGGACATAACTCTGAGATGGGCCTGGCAAATGGCTCCAGCAGCTGCTGCAGGTCTTCTACCTGACTGAGAACTAAGCTTCTGAGGGGGATCCAGGAGTCTTGCTCACCATCTCCATTTCCAGCCACCTTGCCTGGCTGCAGTCCGTTGCTCGTGCTTTTCTTGGCTGCCAGTGGGCAGCGATGATTGAACAGAGAAATCCAGCAGTTTATTCCTGAAAGAAAAGTTATAGGAAACAATATAACAATATTTCTTTCAGCTCTTTCTGAGGCTGCCCAATAAACACCCGAGGTGAGAGGGGATGAAGGGTTCAACTCACTGCTGTGGGCCATCCCAAGGCCTCTGCAGCTGTTTCCTTAACTCGCTGTGGTGGCTGGCAGCTCCTCTCAAGCACTCTGATTAAGTGAGATGTGAGGATAAGTTCAGAGCCTAATTTCTTCTTCATTATTAAAACTGTATGCATCTCTCATGCTGTTGGTGATTAGGTTGTATTTTCTTGTGGCCTAGTAGGAATACGGCAGTGAATCATTTTGCAAGCAGCTGTCCTCTAACAGCTGAGCTAGGTTCAATATTTGATTTAAGCTAATAAAAAGTCTGGGGTAGGGCTAATGTTTACAAACTGAGTGTGATAAAACATTCAGATCATCTGTTTGACAGCCAGGCAAGATCAGGCACAGGGGACCCCACTGGAAGTTTGGGCTCGCTTTTGTTTGGGCGCTGGCTACCGGCTTGCGGTGGTAACGGATCCCAGCTCGGCTCCAAGCACGCCAGCTGGTGGCCTCTGAAATTCAGGCAGGCTCAGCTGTGCTGGAAATACCTCCTTGTTCCCAGCCGTGGGTTGTACTGTAAGAGCTCACAATGCATAAAATATGTCCCTTTTGCTCTTCTATATGAGTTGTAGTCAAAACATACATTTAAAAATCTTTTAATTTTCATGAATCATTTCCTCTGGCAATCTAGTAAGTTTAGGTGCCACTCTCTAAATTCCCACCAGTTCAGCTACTCTTTCAAAAAAATTTCCCGTTGCCTTGAGCTGCCTAGAAATAAATGCAATAAGGAAAACGGACACTATGATATCATTATTCTCTGACTGCTTCTCCAAATCGTATTGGTCTGCCAGTATCATGTTGCAGTTTTGGACTCGCTGTCCATGTTTGCCTCTAGATCTCTGCTGACGTTAACAGTTTGACAGGTTTACGTTTGGTTATTTTTCCCAAGACATAAAATATACATTTTAAGTTAAATTATATAAAATTTCCTGCTTGTGGTTCTGATTTCTCTGATCCCTTTGTATTATTTCTTTTCTTGGCCAAAAATTTTTGCTGCCTCGTCCTGAAGTGAAATACATGAGGATTCTTTATATTTTTTTCTGAATTGTATCAAGTCTTTACACTTTTTAAAAACATTTTTATGTCATCTAGCTGAAGAGATTTCCAGAGTGCTGCTGTCTTGATATTATGAGGAAATCTATTTTCACCATGAAGATGATCATTGGATGAAGATTGGAACAGGTTGCTCAGAGAGGTTTGGGAAGTTGCCTCCTTGGAGATATTCAGAACTCAACTGGACGAAGACCCTGAGTGTCCTGATGTAACTCACCCTGCTCTGAGCCCTTCCAATCTAAATTATCCTGTGATTTCAGGGTGTACACTCTAACAGGAGCTTGAACAGAGAAATGACATAAAAGTTCAGGAGTGGTAGCTACAGTAAACAAATACATAGTTCTTAATGTTGCTTTACATCTAGTTTAGGAGAGGCCAGTATTTCCCGTATAAAGGTCATATATATCTTCTTATAGATAACGCCAATAAATATACTGAAAAATTGTTTTATTTTTGCCAAAAATAGTCGGTCCTAGGTTGTATTGAAAAGGCTACACTAGCATCTCTCATAGATGACATCTCTGAGGGGACTTTTTCTGATTTATCTTCATGTGACTTTTCTGATTCCAACCTGCTGATGTAATTCTACCTGATTAAATATTAGTGGGGAAAAAAATCTTTCCCAAATGTCAGCAAATTTATAGTTTCCTGATGTTTTGGCATCAACCTTTTCAATAATTTCATTTTTTTCTTCTCCCTTGCTTGTATGTACGCTCTGTATTTGGTTGGAACTGGCACCTCCTGCAGTGTTTAATGAGCATGTTGCATTTCCCCATGCCAGGGGAATTGCCATTCCCCTGTATGAAAACCCCATTCATCTCATTTGAGTGTCTGCTCCTTAAACGACGCCGCTTCATCCCAGACCCTGCACAGTGGGAATCTGTAACTTTTTCAGTTTTGGCTGAGCTCTGGGACCAGGGCAGTCTTGCGCTGTTTGGTTGGTTGTTTGCAAAACTGAAGTTGCTCATTCTGTGCTGAACCCAAAGACTGTCGTTTTTTGTTTGCTCGCATTTCAGTGCGGTTACCCTTCAAAGCTTAATGTTTTCCTTTTTGCTGTAATAAACTGCTTGCTGTTTGCCTCTGGTTTGGGCGTTGTACTCAAAAGACCCATTTTATGTGCAGAGAGACATTGTTAGAGAGGCTCTGGAGGGTTTTAAAGACTATCTGCTGGAAATTATATGGATTAGTTTGTAGGACATTTTTTAGCTCTTGTCGGGTTTGTTTACACTGTTTAAATTAGCTGCTCTGTCACCAGTGTTGTGGCTACTTTTTGGGCTTTCTGCTAACCAGAGAAAGGCTGGTTGCAGGCTGCAGAGTGTGGTGAAATAGAAGACGTGGGAAGAAATGGCACTGAAGTAGTATATGTTGTTTCTCTTCATTATTTATAAAATCCTGATTTCTTTTAAAATTCTTTTTTATAAGTAAAACTTTGTGATAGCTCCTCTAAGTCAGGTTCCCACTTTTTCCCTCAAATTACGCAGGTTTAACATAAGATATTTCCACTCTCAGAGATTCTTAAAGTTTCCTCTTTTGTTCTCTTTTTTAAAAAACCCTTGCGTTAGGACCTTTTCTCACAGAAATGTAGTTGCAGAGAGGATTTGCCCAGTATTCTACCACAGCAATCTTAGAGACCGCCAAAATCAGCGCCATATCCAAAACGTGAACAGGACATTTTCCATTACGTTATCTTCTCTCACATGCGCACGTGCACCCACGTTCCCACCCATCCCTTTCAGGAGTTGTGCAACAAACCTCTTCTTCTTCTGAGGTTAAGCTTAGCAAAATTCAGTGTTTCTAGATTAATTTTTTTGTCACCTCCAAAGAAAGAGAAAGGAAGCATGGTCCTCTGACTAGACCACGGGACTGAAATTTGGGATAGCTAATCCATTTGATTTTCTCCCTGTAATAAACCTCTTCTGTATTTAGACTGCAAGCTCTTGGAGATAGGATTGTGTCATGTAATGGGATGTGGATAGGACATATCAAGACCCTACGCTTATAATTCCTTTTCAGTGCAATGAAAGTCACGTTACCCATGGTGGCTTTTTTGGGTGGAGGAAGGAAGGTACTCTTACTAAACATTCAAAAACATGTCCTAGACACTGACTAGATGCTATAAGTCTCTTACAGGGGAAATCAGGCTGGTGATCGAGATACTGGGTAACACATATGTAGTGGTCAGTTTTGTCTTTATTTTTTCTGCTGTAGTCTTTGCAGTGTTTTGATGCTGCTTAGTCCACATCTGCCAGAACCAAAGTGTTGGGATTTCAGAGGCAGTGAGCTATGATAACTCATGGTTACAGGACATGGAGACAGTAACTGCAAATGCATTTCTGACTACGTTTTATATTTTTTGTCTTGAAGGTTCAGCTGTCTCAAGTTCTAGAAGAAGTGGGAAACCAGAAGCAAAGAGCAGATATGGTAAGGGTCCATCTTTTTTTTCCTGTTTTTTCTTTTTCCTGTTTTGTAGAGCAGTAACATATGCAAAATTCAGTGCCTTTGAATGCTGGATCAGTTCCAAATTTTCAGATGGGAATAGCAAATAAACATTGCAAAGGTCTGTATCACTCTTGCTAGTCTTGCTGCTATCAGTCTCCATGCTCAGTTGGGACAAGTGTTGGATGAGATGAAATAGTCTTTGTTTTTCTAGCAGTTTGTCTTCTCTTTGCTAGCACATCTGGAAAAGAAGCAAGCATTTAATTTCATAGTGAATTAACCCCTCTCTTTGGGGGTCTTTGATTGAGTCTCAAGCGTGCGAAGGACAAGCAGATGAGTTGGGACAAAATATACTACAAACTAGTTTTTTATAACGTCTATTAATTTTCTGCTGGGTTTATCTATCTTATTGACAGTTCCCTCAAGGACCAAAAAAAGCAGAGGCCACACAATCAGGCTAGTAGGGAGGCTCATATGCAATTTCCTGACTATTGTTTATGATTCTTCGAATCCAGGAATAAATGAGGTGTCAGCATTAAATTGTTTTGTGAACAAGTGTTTTTGCAAACGAGCGAGTTACAGGATTCCTTCTGCAGCTTTTCCTAATCGCAAGCAAACCTGAGCAGTACTAAAAACATGGGCACTAATTCTATAGGTTTTTTTTTTTTAAATACTGAATGAATTTTGTCAGTGATCACTGACTAGTGAGTAGGTACTAAATGGACTTCTGTTCTGAAATCCAAATCATAACCTCTAGTGCTAATGCTCGTCTCTTTAGACCCTACTTAGCTCTACTGAGGCACTGAAGATCCAACACTGATGTGCCTTTGCTGTTTGAGTTTTCTTTGATTGGGCTGTGGTGCTCTTTGCTGTTTCAACACTGAATTTTCTGTGATGAAAGTGTTTATTGACTCCGATTCTGGGGTGATCGTACATTACGGGCAAACGTTTTTGCCTGCTTAGTCACCTTCTCTTGTGACATAGAAAAGAACTGCTATTTCCAAAGAAAAGTGCGGTAATCCTATTTACCATCTGATCTCATTACGTACTGCCTTGTTGTAGTTTTAAATTTTACATGCTGAGCTTTGTATTGTGCTCACCGGACACATCAGAGCATAAAGTTGCTGTTAAGTTTTAAAGGTTCTGATGTGCGTTTTTTTGAAAAAAAAAAAAAACATTTCAGAATTTTTCCTCATGGCTCGTTAAGCCTGGGTTTTGAGTTACTTGTCTGCCTTCAAAAATTCATAGTATTGAACAAGCTAGCAGAAAGCTGGAGAAACTGGAACTTCCAGTGTTAAAATATTAATTAGTGTTGTGCACCATCCACTGGAAGAGGGATAAAGGAGCCTTCAGTGCCTATTCCCAAGGGTTATTCAGGGGAAAACTGCAGGTCTTGTGATCTTCCCTGTAAAGCTTGTAACAGTCTCACATGAAGAGTCATTTTCTGTGGTGCTTTAGACTATGGATTGCAGATTGCTGAGATGCGGGCTTTATTCGGCCGTTTTGAATTTGTTCAGTAAATAGAAGAAAACTACTTCAAACAGTGGAACAGAGATTGTTTTTCCTCTCTTTCTGTCATGTACCTTTTGAGAAAAGCCCGATGGTATAGCTCCTTCTCTTTACTGACAGTGGATGGTTCTCTTCCTTCCCCGAATAGAAGCCCCCTAATAGAAAAAGATGTTTCACTTTTTGTCTTCTCCAAAGGGTGGCAGAGGTCCGTCCCCTTTGGATGCTGCTGTTCCCTTAGCAGGCTGCCCGGGGGCTCCAGCGTTACACCGTCTCCTCCTTCCCTTCGAACAAAATGTTCTTCCCTTGCTTTTTTTTCTCCAGATCAGCATCTCACCTGGGTGGCCTTACTTTCAAGCTTGTTTAAAGCTGGCACTTTGGCAATTGCTTGCCTGATTGGGATTCCTGGGGCCTCTGCTACCTTTTTCTCCCCCTTCCCATTTTTCGCCTGCGATCCATTTTTCGTTAGTTTGACATTAAGCTTCCATGGCTGGGAGGACATGGAAAGGCCGCTTCCGGCTCCAGGCGCTGACAGATGGGGATATTGCTTTTCATCAGCCCTTCTGCAGATGGGCTTATGGCTCGACACGAAGTGGTATAAGCACCTGTCAGGTGCCATCGTACAGGCTGATGGCTCTGTGAGCTGCTGCTTGGGCTGGACCTCTGCGGAGGTGACATCTCCATGGCCTCCCTGAGGAGCGCTAGTAGCTTTCCCTCCCTCCGCAGAGCGCTGGGCGTGAAGCAATGTGCGCTGGGGCCTGTGAGCTATCTAGTGTGGTCTCATCGACGAGTTCGATGGGGTTTCTTGCAGTTATGCTGTTGGGAGCATGCCCTAGATGCCTTGGTAAATAATTCAGTCTTTGCATAGGAGTAGTTAAGAGTAAAATCCATGTGGGATAAATCTGTTAGGGTGGTGGCCTCAATAAAGGAGTATCTGCATGCTGCCTCCTTGGGAGGAGAGGGTGGCAGGCTGGTGGCATGTGCTGTAGGGGACGTTTGCAGGTCTGTCCTCGGTGCCCTGCTATCGGGCAGCACGGAGGCTTGCTTCGCTGACCGGCATTGACTCTTTCAGCACACAGTATCTTTGCTTGTCAGCTAAAAGTCAGTTTACTACTAGAAGAGGGGGGGAAAAAAAAAGGGAGAAAAGAAATTTAAACATCTTCAGCTAATTGTGGTTGACAAGACAAAGGCAGTTTGACTTTCAAGTATTAATTAGCAAACCCATAGTAATTAGCTTGTATAAGCAGAATTTATGCTTCTAAAAAATGCAATTAATATTGCCACTGAAGACATCTCTGGGCTGTGCTGCTGTATCATTAACATACTTTACCCTAATTAGACACGGCCGGTAGTGGCTGGAGAAATGAGCTTGTGATTACAACCATAAAAAATCCTCTAATATTTTATATCCTTCAGGGAACTTGAACCTCGAATTTATTTTCTGATTTAAGAAAAATTACCCTTATCATTGTGCTGTGTAATTATAACAATGAAACTTTGATTTTCTCTCCTTCTAACCCTTCAGTTATTTGTTTTGATGCATTCCCAGTTTGAGTCTGTTCCTCTTGTGTGAACAGCACCCTACCCAGTCTTCTCGTAGACGGTACGTAACAGAGTCTGCAATCTAATAAGGCTCAGGTGACTTAGGTATCCCCTGATTTTGTGGCTTAAAAAGGTTGCTTCTTTTTGTACTTGCTGAAAGAAGGTTTTTTGTTGAGGATTTTTTTTGATGCCTTCTTTCCTGCAATTTCTGTATACGTATGTGCGTGCTTTTCTGGCAATTTTATCAGCACTGGAAAGTTCTTTAATGAGGCTGGCGCTCAAATATCTTTATCTCTAGGATGTGCCAGGAGATTACTTGTGGCGCTTACACCTCTGCCTTCCTGCTTTGTGATACTGGAATCTTACTACTCATGGTCCGTTTGTTTAGTGCTCTCCTGGTTTATAGAGCTGACAGTTAGCTTCACTCGTACCAAAACGTTATTTGTGGAAAGTTCTTTCCTGTTTGTTTTATATTATTTTTCTTTCTTCCCCTGAGGGAGGGAAGCAGAAAGGGTGGTAGTTTTTCTGATTTTCATTCGCCTTTTTCATCTCCCTTTATAGACAGGAGGAAATTACGTGGCTCAAGCTTGCCGTCTAAGCAGCGGCTGTGATCCTAGGTCTTTCACTTTCTTTCAGTCTGGTTCTATAGCAGGGGGCATTCATGTCAAGCTTTTTTTTTTTCCATCATTAATCCCTGAGGGAAGCGAGCTTGGTATTAAAAAAGTATCACCTGTATTTTCATTGCCTGGAGGTGCTCTGGATATCTTTTGACTTTCATCTTCAAAAGACAGCTTGGCCCATGTGGGCTCTGAAATCTATAGACTACTCATTGGAACAAATTATATTTCACCCTCCAGCAGATTAAAAAGGATGGATATAAGAATCGGAAGAATTGTTTAGCAGGGCGGGAGGTAAAGAAGATTTGAAGTCCAGGGAGGTAGCCGTCACAAAATGAATGGCATAAACTGAATGTCCTTACAGAATAAATAGAGAGACCTTAACATAAAAATAATGAATGCCCCTTGCCTTGACTAAAAGTGTTCGTTAACCCTCTACAAAGAACAGGAGACCTTTATTTAAGGACAGCAGGTCAGGAATAGTTAGGGAGTCAAATCGTGTGCTCAATATGCTGAAACGGTAGCACTGAGGAATAATTTAAATCTCAGTGGCTAGCTACATGCATGGTTATCAGGATAAGTACTGAAGACAGTAAGGAGGAAACACAGAAGAGTCAATACAGAGGACACTCAGTGCATGATGTGGTTTGGAACCAGTGGTAACTGGAAAGCTGCATGGAAAAATGGCAGAAAAGTTTGGAAAAATCACGATAGTCATCAAGATATAAAGAGCAAGAGACCCACACAGTTCATAAACCCTTTAGACTGTAACTACAAGACTTTCTGGTAGCTGCATGAGACCTCCTGAGTTATAAGAACTGTAACTTTGATTTGATACTTAAGAGATATGTCTGGCAAGGTTCAAAAGATACTGTTAAATTTTACTTTACAGATTATAACAGGGATTATATCAAAGAAGTGAACCTTAGTATAGAAGGACCTCAGCTGGATAATTGGGCAATATGGCTAATTGAGTTCCTGTTTAAGGGTTGTCAAACCTGAAGTAAAAATACAGCAGAGAAGAAGACATAAGAATGATAAAAGTGATACTTATTAAAGGAAATGTACATTTTTTGTATTATCTACAGTGGGATGGCAGTTCAGTGGAGGATTAGAGTACCAAACCATGGTGGTTATAATAAAAATGAACCTTTGCCAGAACACACCGTAGAACTGCCAGGCTGGGAGGCGAAGGCAATGTTTGGTGCAGGAAGCCTCCAACTCTCAAAAAGTCTTATTTCATCATTTACACATTGATTTAGAAAGACAACAGCAAATCTCCACAGCGTTTGACAGATTTTATCCTAGCATCTTATACAA